CCAACTTTGCTGCCGCATACAACCTGAGAACACAATCACTGGACCTAACAACATCAACTACACCATCTCAGGCTTATTCACCTGCTCATCTTCTAACATTGTATATGTTCAGGCTGCTAGTTTTTGTTTTTGTTCTTGAGTTGAGAACAGCCCACCTCTTCAACTTTTGTCATACATCAATTCAGACATTAACTTGCAATGTTTCCGTCATTTATTACATTTTAACTGTAAGATCCTGGGGACATGTATTCAGTGATGCATCTTCTTTAAACTGCCATGAACCCTGATGGTGCTGATAATAAATGCTTGGTGGTGATGGAAAGTGCCCTCACGTTGCAGCTGACTTGCGGTGACCCCGTAGGGTTTTCAAGGCAAGGGATGTTCAGAGGTGCTTTGCCATTGCCTGCTTCTGCGTAGCAACTGTGGACCTCCTTCATCTCTTACCCAAGTTCTAACCAGGGCCACCCCGAGTTAGCTTCTGAGATCTGATGAGATTGGACTAGCCTGGGCCATCCAGGTCAGGGCAATAAATGCTTAGATGGTATTAGTAACTTTGAGGCCGATGAGTAAATAAATAGATTTTTAAAAATTCTGCTATTACATTTCAGTTAAGAACATAAGAGACACCAATGTTGGATCAGCCCAAAGGCCCATCCAGTCCAACACTCTGTGTCACACAGTGGCCAGAAATACCAGGTGCCATCAGGAGGTCCACCAGTGGGGCCAGGACATTAGAAGCCCTCCCACTGTTGACCCCCCCAAAAGCACCAAGAAGACAGAGCATCCCTTGCCCCAGAGCCCCTATCTATACCTTGTGGCTAATAGCCCCTGATGGACCTCTGCTCCATATGCTTATCTAATTCCCTTTTGAAGCCGTCCATGCTTGTAGCCGCCACCACTTCCTGTGGCAGTGAATTCCATGTGTTGCTCACTCTTTGGGTGAAGAAGTACTTCCTTTTATCCGTTCTAACCCGACCGCTCAGCAATTTCATGGAGTGCCCACGAGTTTTATTATTTTTATGTGGTGGGATACTGCTTCACAGAATTAGAGGCTCTTTGACACCTAAAAAAATTCAGTCTTTTTAGAAATAATAGATGATAATCTGCTGACAGGTTTCATTTTAAATATATTGAGGCAGCCATTTTGAAGGTTTTGACCTTTTCACTTCAGGCAAGAAAGCTGGCCTTTGTAACAAACAGCTCCCTCATTGAGTAGCCTCTGAGTAGTTTTTGTTTACCAGTTTAGACCTCCTGCAGTGGTATTAGGCTTTCTTGACTAGGATTGGGTTTGGGTGCTTTTTGTGGCCAATGGAAGTGTGGAGAAACGCATTTTTATGCCTATGTTTAAGTTGGTGTGGGCCAGATAGGAGGGGACTATCAAACCTGAGGTAGGCCTTGGCCTAGTCTCCTCCTCATTCCCCCCCCTCTCCTGTCTCCAGCCAGCAGAGGGCAGCTCAGGAAGTCCATCTAGGCTGTGAGGAGATCTGCCCCAGAATGCTGCAGGAGGGAGAGCCACTTCCTGGGCAGGAAGGGCTGTTTGATATAGTGGAGCTTTTGGGGGGAAGCGGTCTATGAGAATTGAGATCGGTCTGCCTGAAGTCTGGAGCCAGTCAGGCTGTCGGCTGGAGTCTGCAGGAGGCAGAGGCCATGTTGGGAGCAATGTTCCCTCTAAGCTGTGGAGTCTTCTGAGCAAAAATTCTACTTTGTGAGCTACTGGCATGAAAGTTGTGAGTGAACAATTTGGCTACTGCATAAATTAGTTGCTTTGGAGCCATCCTTCCTGAGCTAAGACAGAAATGTGTGAGCCGGAGGCTAAAAAACGGTGAGCTCGCTCACACTAACTCAGCTTAGAGGGAACACTGGTTGGGAGTGGCGCTAATCTAACTTCCTCCAGTGAAAGCAAGTCATGTGCCTTCCCTGCAGACCATCTAGACAGGGTATGTGTAGTGAAGGGAGAGATGGAGCGATTTATTATTCACCTTTATTTTGATTCTTCAGTTCTCTGTTAATATGCCTGTATATAGTTGAGTGGTTTCAAAATAAATCCTTTTACTGTTGACATTGAGAAGTCCCTCTGTACCGCATAGTTCCCCCAGCATAGATGGATTAGGAGTACCTTGGTCAACTGAATGTTTAGAGGATTGTCAGCTTTCTAAATTTTGTGGCTTGGGCATATCATACTAAGTGCTGTGGCTGTGCTTTGGAGTGCATCTGGTGACTTCTTTGAGGTCTGCTGGAATTTGGTAAAGAAGAGGGCAATTTGTTTCCAAAGAGGCAACAAAATTAACTGACCTGAGAACAACAGCAATCTCCTCTTGTAACAAGAATCGGTCGAAGAATTCCAGGGGACCATTAAGGAAACCTGTTTACTCTGGTTGGTTGGATGACGGAAGAGCTGCTTTGAGCTACTAATTGAAAAGATAAAAAGGCTGCTGACATTGAGAATAGCAGATCAAAAATCCTGAGGAGGAGGAGGAGGAGGTGCTCTGAAGTGATTTAATGAGGGTAAGTATTGCTGCACAAAGCAAGCAATTTAATTTTTTTGCTGCATTAGAAATGCCACGTGGAATTAAAGGAGAACAGAGCAACAGCAGCAGCATGTGCTCATTTCTAGTGAACTGCAATATTCATATTGCCTTAATTTACTTTATTCTAGTAAGATGAGATTGATTAGAGTGAGTATCAGCCACTAGCTTTCCCTTCCCTCATCCTGGCTGGGGTTGCTTTATCTTACCATGACCCCTGCTTCCTGTAGTCCTCTTGTCCACTGCTTCTACATATTTCCTAGCCCACTGAAACATTGGTCCTACCCCCACCTTTGTTTCCCATAGCATCTACTTCTCCCATACTCGTTTTCTTGCCCTGCCTGCTTCCTCCCCTTTTTGCCTTCAGTCTCACTCACCTGCAGCCCAGTGACAGCCGCATTAGTGCACGTGCCCACTGGAAAATGAATGACTGACACCAAGGCAGGGTGGAAAGGGGAAAAGCTATTGCAGGGGAGGGCTATAATTACCAGTCTTGGAGGGAAGAGGTCTGCAGAGGCAGCAGCAAAATGACCAGCATTTTGTGGAGAGAAGAAGACCCAATGGATTGCGGGTGTGGGTATGGGTCCAAGAACACAGACACTGCACTGGTAGCTAGGTGCTCTTGATACAGGGCAAAATGCACCCTGGGGCAAGCTGAAGTGATGCCCCCAAAACAATAACTTGATGGGTTTTTCTAAGGCGAACAGTGATTTTGGAGAGGCTTAATGACCCTACAAGTACCATACAGGACAGCTAATAGGTTTGGTGAATAGAATGGAGAGTTGATTGTGTTGCTTGATTCGGGTATGTGGGTTCAAAGAAAGTAAAGTTGGACGATGAGTCCAAGGGTGAATCAAGAGGTTTTGGGAGACCCATTGTCCTACAGTTCTGCATCTCTCTGGGCCATGGAGGGGGCCATTAGCCAGTCAGCCACTCTGACCCACCTTCCAGAATACATTCCCAGGCTCTTACCTGGCTGGCATCTATTTTGTTCCATTTTAGACCAGGCAGTGCCTTGCATTATGATTTTTGAGATGATATTTTAAGAAGGGTGTTTCTGCCTCTCTAAGCTATAAACTGCCCCTCTGTGAGAGGAGAGGTCTAACTGCTGATACCCCAGGCTCCCAAACCTGAGGGCCATCTACCTGCCAGGACCATCCCAGCCTAAAGAGAGGGGGAGGCATGGGGACAGTGGGATCACCATGGCCTGAGAGCCATTCTCCTGGCCCAGCCTCAGATGGGACAGGCCTGTCCAGACCAGCCTCGCTGCATTAGGGGATGGGGATGGGCCTACCCAGACCAACCTCACTGTGTTGAGAGATGGGATGGAACTCTCCAACTTCTCCTTATCCAACAAGGGACCAACCCTTTTGGGGGCAGAGCCCCCCATGAATGACCCCCTCCCAGCCCTCCCCAGGAGGATGCCAGACCCCCCTCCCTCCCCCACCCCCAGGAGCCCCATCAGTAACAACGTGGCAGCTGGACTGGCTGGCGCAGGTGCAGTGAGGTGCTGGGGGTGAGCCATTAAAGAATGGTCTGCCTCGGTGCCTTACTGGCTCTGCGCTGGCCAGGGCAGCAGACGGTGAGCAGAAATAGGTGTCATAACACCTCTTTTCTGCCCGCTGCCCTGCCTGCCTGCCTGCCTCCTCAGCTCTCCTTCTCCATCTCCATTCATAGCATGCAGGAAGCTCCTCTGTGAATGGAGAGGGAAAAGGAGAGCCAGCCAGTCATTGGGTCACTTACGGGTGACATCACAGCAGCCCAGCTGGGCTGGGCACCTCCTGTTCTGGGGTAGCCAGACAGGTGCTTCTTCCGTCTGAACTGAATGGGAACAATGCTGCAGGCACGTGTTAAAGCTTCCATCTGGCTAACTCCCTGCGTGACCCTGTACCTTACCGAACTCTTCACTCATGAGTGTAGACCCTGTTGGTTTCCAGTTCCTTTGAATCAGCAGCACAGGGATATTTGCTGATGCTGTATGACAGAATCATGCAAATATCTCTTGAGAACAGGGATTGAATTGGTGTGTTGGCTAGTAATATCACAAAAGCATGGCAGGTGCAGCAAGCAGCTTTGGGGATTCTTTCTTCTGCGCAATTCCTGGATTCTCTTCCAGGCTGAAAAGCCACCAATACTTGAAACATCCCTCTCATCTTTCCAACCCTGCCTCTCCTGTCCAGGACAGTGAAGTGCTTCAAGTAGAGAGCTGGAGCTTGCGTGCAAATGCATGGAATATTATTAGCAGAGGTCATTTCGGGGGGGAACTGTGCAGATGCATGGAATATTATTAGAGACAGTTTCTAAAAACCAAGCATCTAGATACTGCTTTATTCTCCCACCCCTACACCTTTCCCCCTGAGGCTACAAAGATAACTTTCTTGATTATTATTGAGGACATTATGTAAAACAAATATCTGGCAACAGAGTGTGTTTCCAGAGCCTGTGGCAGCAGAGAAAAAAAAGAAAGTACAGTACCCATTTATCGCCTTAGGTATCACCAAATGCTGCTCCTTCCACAACTGCTGGGATTTATTTTTAACTGCTTGACTCAGTGTTTGTCAGATGATTCTGACCATCAAGCTGCTTACTGAATGCAAAGTACAGCAAAAAGCCAGGGTTGGTTGAAAAGGGGAGGGCTTGTCTGGGGAAGGAGGTGGGATTTGGAAGCTCTCCACAGAGCCTCAGCCTTTCTCTATCACAGAGAGTTCAGCACTTGTAGCCGTCGGAGTACTTTCAGGTCAAGCTGAGAAGGAGAAGGGTAATGGCTGCTTTCAAATGCTTTAAAGGCATAATTGCTCAATTATCACTGCATTGAAGGAAGGGGAGCAGCACACTGCAGGTTTGCAAATTGGTTTCTTTCCTGTGCTGGATGGTGCCTTTCTAAAGGAGGTTTCATCATGATCGATAGCTCCAAGAAACAGCAACAGGGTTTCCCAGAGATTTTACCCGTGGGAGATATCGAAACCTTGAAAGAGAAGGAATGCCTTGATGCAAACAGCCCGAAAAGTCTAAAGGAAGGTCAGTTTCCTGGTTTGGGGGAAGGCAAATATGCAAGTTTGTTTTTTATTTCAATACGATGGGCTTGCCAGTAGTTTAAAGCATTAAATCTCTGCAGATCAAGGGCTTTTAGTCCTTAAAAGGGGTTGGATGTGTCGCTTTTGTCAAACAACTGGTGGTTGAAGAGTAATGAATTTTGTCAGTAATACGTTGGGGGTGAATGCTCCTGTGATGCTCGCAAGAGGTTACAGAGCACCGCTGGTTGCTGCTTTAAAGGGTGTCTCTGGTCGAGGTCAAAACAGAAAGAATCAGAACCTTATTAGAGACCTTACTCACGATTGTGGCTGAGGGTCTCCAGCTCCTGCTGTCCAGGACAGTTCTGCTTACATTTACCAGCAGTTACATTTTGTGTGGCTTATGATTGTCTCTGACTATAAGATGAGCCAAAGCCCCCTTGAGCTGTCAAATCAAGGGAAGTTGGGAAACTGATAAATACACATCTGTGCTAACAAATATTAAGCCGGTTCCACAGGGTCCGTTTAAGGGATTGCTCTCCTGGCTGCAGCAGAAATTGTTTCTTCCCAGAATTAAGGTTGGTGCATTGTTATCAAGATAGCGTAGGAGTTTTCCTTCCTTTGCGACACTGTTAGTCCTTTCCATACAGCGTTACACCCCAACCCCGTCCATCCCAGATCAGTATCCTGTTTTCTTTACCCACCTCATCCCAGTTTTCCGTTCTCAGTTCTTTTAGCTAAGTACTTTAGAGTATCTGGGAATGAGCCAGAGAATGCTGCTAGTTTCCTTTGATACAGAATTGGCGCTTCTTCCCAAAAAAAGAGAAAGACAGCGAGACTGTTTTCCCTTTTGCACTGGATAGAGTATAAGTGTGTATACTGGGAAACTGAGGAAACTATTGTTTTGTTGGCGTTCACATAAGGTGGGGTCACTGTTCCAATACTGAATGTCAATTAAGATGTTTTTAAGTTGTCATCTTCTTTTAGAGGGTGATCTTGAGTAAGTGGAAAGTGGAACATAAACTGGAGGTCTGTAGTATAAACAGAGATAAAACACAAGCATTAACAAAAAAAGGGTGATTTAAAAAGTAAGCTGTGCGCCATCTTTTATTGCTGAAAATGGAATACAGTTGAACTGAGGAGCAGTTCACGCAGGCTCTCAGTTTCCACCTGTGTGCGAGTAGCCACAGCCCTTCCTTGTGCCTGCAATCATTTGAGAAAAGCCATTTATGGCCCCGGTCACACGGGCAGGAAAATGTGCGGAGGAAGTGTGGCTGTTTGCCCCGGAGCAAAATAACGCGCGGCTGCATGATCAGATGTCCGGTAGAGGTCCTGTAGAGGTCCCGTGGTTGGGGGGAGTTGCCGATCACAGGACAATCCTGCAGCGCAGCAAAGAAGCAGCCTCTCTAGCAAAAGGCTCCCTGTGGGTTTAACCCCTTCCAGGGCTGCAGAGGAATGCAAAATGTGTCCTCCGTCCGGTCCTCTCCAGGAGGAGCTTCAGCCGGGCCGCCCTCCCGCCACGCCTCCCCGCACCTCCCCCTCTGCCACCCGGTGCAGAGAGTTCCTCTCGAGCAGGTCGAGCCAGGAGTGGGGGGGTATGGAAAAGAGGAGGGGGCTGTGTTGTTTGTTTTCAAACGAAGTGTGTGCATGCGACGTTGGGTGCTTGTGCACATCCCGGGGAGACTTGGGGGAAAAAAACCTTTTAGCGACGGGACATGGGCGGGTGCCAGATGCCACGACCTACCACCGGAACCGCGATCAGGCGCCCGCCCTTGCCCCACGGTTTCTGGAAACTAGTACCTCGGAGGTACTAGTTTTTTACCCCGCATCTTCGGCGGGAAGCCTCGGGTTCGCCACAGGAACTCTACGCTTCCCAGATGTGGCGCTGTGATCGCGCCTGGAAAATCCGCCTATCTTCCGTCTCTGTAGCGTGGCTAATGCTCCATGTGACTGCAGCCTATGTTGACTAGATTATGCCTGGGTACAACCACAGCTGGTTTGCGTGTGTGTGCGATTGTGACCACTGGGGAAAGGGTCATGATAATTACAGAAACAGCTGCCCATTGTCTTTGTGCAGAGTTCTGTTCAAACAAGTGTTTTCCTCGTGTGGTTACAGTGCCAGGGCTACTTGCTTGTAGGGGATTCACTCTAAACCAGTTGTTGGGTTGTGAAGGTGGTCAGGAGTGGCTTTAAAGCAATTTCCATCTGGTACGGTGAGATTTGTCTTTATCATCACCAAGCATGTGGTACCCAGGCCTGCTTTTGGGAGTATTGTCATCCCAGCTTTTCTCTAAGAAACTCAGGGTGTTTGAATATATACATTTGGTACCTTTTGAGATAAGTTAAGCAGGGAGATAGGGACTGGCCCAGTCACCCAGGGATCTTCATGACTTGAATCTGGTTGAGCACCTCCTGCCGCTGCAGAATGTGATGATCCAACTTCCTGACACAACCAGGTTAATCCGCACACATTGACGTAGTATTGCTTCAGCATCTGTGATGTCTCGCTATCTTCGAGGCACAATTCAAAATGTTAGCTTTGACGTATAAAACTTTACATGCTTGGGGTTTCCACAATATATAGTTGAACGCTTCCTATCCCAGAAGCCCCTCCCTCTTCTGTTATCAATTCTTTTTCATGGTTCCATTTTTATACAGGCAGAAAGGGATTTTAGAAGGATGATTTCAAAGGTTGCCTTGTACCTATGGAGTTACTTCTCTTGAAAGTTCACCCTTGGTCTGAGCATCATTCAGACGATTTGTAAGACATATATATTTGGGCAAGCTTCAGGGAGAAGACAAGACTCACTGGAAAAGACAGTGATGCTAGGAAAAGTTGAAGGCAGCAGGAAAAGAGGAACACCCAACATGAAATGCATTGACTCAATTAAGGAAGCTCTGGCTCTCGGTTTGCAAGACCTGAGAAGACTGTTAACAGTTGGATGTTTTGGAGGTCATTAATTCATATTCAGGTGGGCAGCCCTGTTGGTCTGAAGCAGCAGAACAAAGATTGAGTGCAGTGGCACCTTTAAGACCAACAAAGTTTTATTCAAGCAGCAAATTAGCATACAGCAAAATAAAGGTTCTTAACAGATGCAAGGACCAAACTGGAATAACAAGCTTTGTTTATATCACAAAAAAAAGGATGTTATTCCAGTTTGGTCCTTGCATCTGTTAACCAACTTTATTATGCTATATGCTAATTGTTGCTCACCCTCTTACCTATATGTATTTTTATTTTATTTTATTTATTTGAGTATTTTTACCCCGCCCTCCCCGCAAGCGGACTGGTCACTTCCATTTCAGTATATCTGAAGGTGTGTGCCTGCACACGAAAGCTTATACCTTGAATAATACTTTCTTGGTCTTAAAGGTGCCACTGCACTTGAAATTTGTTCTATTAATTCGTAGGGCTGCCATAAGTCAGAAGCGACCTGATGGCACTTAACACATACACAGACACAGCCTCAGCAAGCAGGGTTAGATTTCCAGGGTATTGTACTGTTTGGTTGATATCAGATTTTGCTGAACCCTTTAACTTACGTGTTTCGTTTAAATTGTGATCCGCCCTTAGCCTCCAGGATGAGGCAGCCTAGGAATCCAAATGGGCTGCTTTATAGGCTCCTTGAAGATTCATCTATTTTCAGTAAATGCAGATTTCAGTTCAGGTGCTACATAGAAGTTCCTAAGGAACAAGAGGGGGGGGGGGTTATCAAGAAACACATGACAGGTTGAACAAAGGAAGAGGAAAGCATCTCTGAGAGAAGTAGCATGTGAACGTATCTGTAGCAGGGATTGTGTTCTTCTTAGGGCTGTGTTAGTTGATTGATCAATAAATCATTTTAAAGTATTTCAGTTGAATAAAGAGTTGCCAGTGATTGATCAAGCAGCAGGTTTATTTTAAAGGCAGTATTTTAAATAAAAGTTTATACAATGATTATACACTGACAGTACCTGCTATGTCATACACTTACGGCTTTTTAAAAAGAAAAGCATGGGGGGGGGTTTGCTTCAAAATTATTGTTTTACTCATGTGGAAGTTTAGTTAAATTGACCAACAGGGCCTTCCTAAGCAAAGTTATTTCCTTCAGTGGTTTTAGAAGGGTGTAACACTGCTTTGGGCGGCACTGTAAAAGTTATACAGCGAATGGACTCTGGTTACTTAAGTGGTAGTCCTAGTTCTGATAATAAATATGTGTATTTTGGAAGGCTGTTTTTCATTATATACTTGAACAAATCTTTCCCAATCCTTTTAAAATGTTGTTCTCTGGCTCCTTAGCCATGTGCAGGGTCAGTAGCATTGAGTCCATCACTTGGACCTTTTCTAAAATCCTCAGAAGGAGATAAAAACTTTGTGGTTGCATCCATACCTCTGAAGAGATACTGGCAATAATATGTGAAAGGTTCAGAAAGAGGACGCTTGGGAATACAAGCTCAGGTTATATTATTTGCAAATTTCATGCACCCGAAGCCCATTAGAACATCTTGTAGAAGGCTACCTCAGGATCACATTTTGGGGTTAAAATTTGTGAGCTAAGAAT